CCCCAGGAACTCACACAATATATATATATATATATATATATATTATATATATATATATATATATATATATATAATATGTGTGGCTAAGTCTTTGAATCTTCATTGCAAATGTACCGCTAGCTATTAATGTAGTAGCCACTAATGAATAGCATCTCAAATATTTGCCCCACATAACAAACAGAACACGCTATCAACAAATAAGCAGATGGTAAATCTTGACAACGGAGAGGCATTCACTTACAATTTTTTTAAAGGAAATACGAAAGCAAGAGACTAACCGTTTCTTCGAGCTGTTTATTCAAATTCTGCATCTCCTCAACCATTCGTCGGACCTCAGATAATATAAGCCGCTCTGGTAGTCTGTTTATCTCAGCTTTCTTCTGCTGTGCCTGAAGAGCAATGTTGACACTCATTCACATCAATCTTATCATGGTTACGGTTTTCGTTCCCAAGAAAAAAATAACCTTCGATGTTCTTGAGCTTTTCCAAATACCATATATTCCATCATCAGAGATGTGCAATACAAGTTAATGCGAAGGATCGTACCTCATTCATGAGCGCAACCATGAATTAAACACCCTTCCCTAATCAGGCTTGTGTTTCTCAATGACTTAACAAGGATGAAGTTCTAGGCAAAAAGGTTTCTCCAATATGGGGAACCAACTAAAGTACTTAATAAACAATTCAAGAAATAAAGCTTTTAGTATCTCCTTCCGGACTTAATCCTTCACACGAAAATGAAGTAAACCTATGAAATAAAATACCTGCTGAATACGCTTCTCGAGCTGCAACCTATAATTGCGGATTCTCCTCTGTTCATACCCAGAGAGGACTCTGACATAGAAAATTGCTTTTCTCCCAAATTCCAAAAGCTTATTCATCTTTCAGGAAAATTCGGACGCCCACAATCAGAGTACTCCTGAACCACCAATGTAGAAAAACACAACCGAAATCAAATAACGACGAGTATAACCAAATCTCTGCCATAAGATTTTGGAAAATCACAACCAAATTATGCAACAGAGTAACAAAGAAATCAATGGGGTTTAGGCCTCCAAAGAAGGCAGAATACAGAGCACAAGAACTCAGTTCAAATTTTTAACAAAGAAAATATACACGAGAAGCAGCCAATCGCGAGGTATAGAATCACGAGATCCCCTAACCGATCAAATGACGAGCATCGAAAAGGCAGCTTCGTGAATACGGACAATTAAGCCAGTATTTCACATCGAAACCTAAAATCTGAGTAAGACAGATCCTGAAGACTAGCATACAATCACAGGAATCGAATTAGGTTTAGGAATTTAACCTATAAAAGTTCCCCGATTACTGAACTGCACCGATCTTCGGAAATCGGAGACAGCATAAGAACGGGATCAGAAAGATGCGGCTACGCAAAGCGAAGAGGAACCAAAATACGACGGCGCGTTGAATCACAGGGCAGAGACGCCGGTGGATGGAGCCGGAGCCGGAGCCGGAGCCGGAGCCGGAGCCGGAACTTCCTCCTTTGATACGATAACGATTCAATCCGACGGTCCCAATTCACTCTCCCCCCTCCCTCTCTCTTTTTTTTTTTTTTTTTTTTTAATTTGGGCCTCCGCTACACATTTTCTTCTTGTTTTCTTGTTGAAGTTGGGCTTTTGATTTGCTCGTGCTTGTTCAATTTTTTTTTTTCTCATGGAACACTTACTCCAATTTCGTGGAATATGAATTTTATTTACTTCGTTTTGATTTATCTTTTCTACTTTTGTTTAGGATATAAATAATTTGGATATTACTGTGTCTCACATATTTTTTTTGCTGGATACTAATGGATTAATAAGAATAGAATGTTTAGCTTACAATAAAAAAAATTAAAACTGAATTAATTAGAGAGGAGAAAAATAAATCTAAACTATTACTTTACAGAGGAGTTGGAGAATATAAGTGATGGTTGAATACATACATAAATAATGTAAAGGAGTCGTTCAGGGCGCTTGAGTAGTTACTAATTCTCCAAAGATCATGGGTTCGATATCATTCATTTGCGAGTTTGTCACTTTTGGTGGTTTATATGTTCTACATAATTTGCAGTCATGTTGTTGCGTGGAATCGTGGGTTTATTAAAGGGTTCGAAAAATTGTGGTTGAATTCCATTACCAAAAAAAGTTATAAAGCAGGTGAAATGGAAATTCCAAGAGAGTGGGTTTGGTTGGTAGTAAATGCGATATGAGAAGTGGCCGTGTATGGCCGTGACACATAACTATGCTCCCCCAATGTCCCAATTGGGCCCAAACGCATAATGGCCCTTTTGTTCGTTCGTTTTCTCTCTCATGTCCCTATTGTTGTTAATTTTTGTTTCCTAGTAATACTTATAAATCTTCTTTAAATTCTCAAAATGCCCATCCATATTCATCACATTACCAAATTATACAAAGATTTGTATACGATATATATATATATATATTAGCCTTAACACGTTGAACGTTATTTAAGTAGCAAAAAGGTAGGGTTATTCGTGGGCATAAGGCATATAACATGTGGATGAAATGCCAATCACAAAAAAAAAAAACGCACCAGAAAAGAGCATCTTATACCCACACAGCCCTCTGCTACGTGTCACCCATTGTGTCCATTAGTCACCCAAAAGCATCCATATAATATCCCAAGCAAATCTCATTCTATATATTTCTTCGTTAGCCCTCATTTTTACAATTCAACCACATAAACATTATGGCCGTTTCGCAAGTCGTCTTCTTTTTCACCCTCTCTCTCGCAATGGTCTCCCATTCATTAGCTCAAGCCCCAATTATGCCTCCCACGGGCTCGATGTCTATGCCTCCGATGTCCGGCGGCGGCGGAGCTTCTCCGGCGATGTCTCCGTCCACTCCTCCTCCATCAATGCCCATGACGCCTCCGCCGATGCCCATGGCGCCACCGCCGATGCCCATGACGCCGCCGCCGATGATGCCCATGGCACCATCGCCTATGCCGATGGCCCCTTCAACTACGCCGATGAGCCCAAGCCCACCACCCACTTCCGGAATGTCACCGGCAGCTTCGCCGCCGTCACCTCCGGGCATGGAGTCGGCGCCTTCTCCGGGTCCCTCCGCCGCCGGAATGTCGCCGGATATGTCATCTCCGGGCTCTGGGGTTTTCAATGTTAGATGCGACGTCGTATTGCTCTCGTTTCTCGCCGGAGTTACAGCCCATTTTCTCATCATGTGAGAATTTGGTTTTCAGTTACCGTAATCTTTTTTTTTTGGTCGAATTTTTTTATGACTTGCTTCACTGTTAGTGATTGTGGGTTTTTGCGTTTGACGATGGAGTTAGATCTGTACGGTTCAGACATTTGTTGGCCTTTCATTTCCTTTACCCGTATCGATGACTTTAGATGAATAAGAGGCTTTCCTTTCCTTCCATTCACGTTGTTTTAGAGTTTATCGCTCATCACATTCTTTTTTTTTTCCGCCGTTCATTTAATGTGTCTATATATGTAAATTATTCTCGTATATAAATCATGTGCGTTTTATTGTCAATTGTTCATAGAATTTTAATTTGGGTTCGACTTGTAAATTTTAACATGCCAATATCATTAAATTCGAGCGCTTAACCATCGCAACAGATACATTACATACATTTGGTGTTATGTAGGTAATGTTTATCGTTTTCAACGAATTTTCTTGAAACTTAATTTACTACATGCAATTAAAGATAGCAACCTTAAGATTGACAACGGAAAATAAAGAAATGAAACTAAACTATATGATAAGAAAAACAATAAGACCATTTTGCGAGTTTTTTTAACGGCTGGAACTAACCACAGTCCTTCGGATATTGTGTCTTCACGTAATAACCTGCAAACAACGTGAAACAGATCACTCAAAGGATAATAAACTCAATTTGAGAGTGAAATCAAACGTATGATCTCTTGAAATATCATAAGTTTTTTAACCATTGCACATGAAAAATCATAGGCTTTTTAACAATGCAAGGCACCGAAAGACCCATTCTGTGAGGTTAGTGATTCCGTTAGTGTAAATGTTGATTTCACTAATTATTTACCATTGTGGTTTCTTCATGATTAAAAAAAAACGTTTTAGAAAAGGGGAGAAAGAGAAGGCAATGATTTAAAAAAAAAAAAAAAGTAACAATATTCATTGTCGATAATGAAAAGGATAAGGATATGGAGATGGTGGTGGTAGACGATTGCCAGCTGTTATACATATATGGGGTTTGTATTGGAGCCCTTGGAATCTTCTAGAAATATAAATCTCTTATGGAATTCCCCAATTTTTTGTATCGACAACCCTCGTGTAATATAATCAACATTGATAAGTGGGTTCTCAAATTTTGGATGTGCATATATATATATATATATATATTAATTGGGAATAATTATCTGATTATTTCCTACACAGAACCATGAGTAGTGTTATAGTTTACGTATAATATATGAAAGAGAGTACTTTTCTTGGGTGGGTGGGTTGTGGGGAATCTGTGCTGCCCAAAGAAAGAGATGGCCACATGGCTGTCCTAGAGCCCCACCACACCACCTTCACCTTCACATATTTGGCCATTGCTATTCGCAATACAAGTTTAGATTCGTGTGGCCATTGTTCTCCAAAGCTCATTGGGACATCTTCTAATGCTAATACTAACGCTTTGTGTTTGATACAAACGATACAAAATCCGATTAAAATTAAATTAAAAAAAAAGTATATAAATGCAACGCAGAGGGGCAAAGAATAACAAAAAGCATTCCAGTAAATATGGACACCAAAAACCATTTCTTCTACAATAATAAATACAGATTTCTTCCGTACCATTAAAACCACTAGGACGAGTAAAAGACCCTTGCACAACTCTTTTTCAATCCCTTGCAAACTGTAAGTAAAAGCTATCCTTCGGTTTCCCCTTTTTGGATCCAAAGAGAGACTCACCGCTGGCCAAAGAGGAAACTGAAGGAACATGCACTTGATGATCCATCTCACTTGCCTCCTCCCAGAGATGGGAACAGTGCAGCCTCTCTCTGGTAACCACCATATCTGCCTCTGGAACCGCCACCACGGCCGCGTCCACGGCCACGGCCTCCTCGTGGGTAGCAGTCGCCCTCACCATCAGCTGGCTTCAGAAACTCATTGATGCTTACAGCCTGCAACAAAAATCGAGGCACTGAGAAAAGTGGGGAGAGTGGATGCATATTCACATAGCTGCAAAATGTTGGACCGAAGCACATCACAAAGGAATTAAGGAAACCCCGGCCTTTCTATTCTACAACCATTTCCACAAATGCTTCAACTAAATGCTTATCTTGACAAATACAAGTTATGGGAATACACATAGGTGTAGCATATGGGGTATATACAAACCTTCTTAGCCTTCTCTTCTTTCTCAAAGGCATCTTTGCGTTTGTCGGTATCCCAACCCTGCAAATAAATAGAGTTCAGAGCAGGAACAAAGAGAAGACAGTTTCAAATGGACGGTGGAAAATGATACAAAGCCTTGTATCATACCAACTTGATGAAAACATCGTTGTTAGCCTTCTTGTTTGCGAGTTGTTGCATGGACTCAAACTCGTTCAATTCAACTTTCCTCTCATCAGAAGCAGTGAGCGACTGAAGAACCTTTCTCTTCTCCTCGACCTTGAGTATTTTCTCATACTCATCGAGAGTCGTTTCCTATGCACGAACAATGAATATGACACATGAGATTGATACATGTATGATTAGTAAAGGTAAGCTTACTGCAGTATAAAAGTAATTTTGCTGTTAGATGTAGTGACCAACGAAGGAATATGATACCTTATCCTCTGGCTCCTTTTCCACCTCTGCTTCTGCAGGGGTCTCCTTGTTAGCATCAACACCAGCTGGCTTCTCAGCATCTTCCTTCTCGGTCCCAACAGCAGGTTCTTCAGTCTCACTTGAATTGTACAAAAGATAGAAAGAAACTTCAAGTTTAATTTCCCAATCATCACGAAAAAAAGGTTGTAAATTTTACAAATGCCATCAACCAGAAAGATGCTTACGCAGCAAGTTCTTCTTCTGGAGTTCCCCAATTTCCACGACCAGCACCTTCACGCTTGAACTCACTCCTACCAATATTCAATGATAAAAGAGATTACTACAATAAGGCGATATCCTGAGATTTGTATCATTTGGATGGAAGGATTCATAAACAAATACAGAACATTATGAACAGAGAGGAAATGACTAACCCTCTGCCAGTTCTCCTACGACGCTCGTATGTCCTACGAGGGCGATCTTCCCCAGCCTCTCCATTGCTGAAGTCGCCACCACGACGACCCCCACGGAAGGAACCACGAGGACCACCGTATCCACCGCGCCTCTCAGAGGCTTTCGCCCCATCTCCTTCCTCAGAGGGTTTTCCATATCCATTGTTACCTTCAGCATTATCACTGCTGCTAAAATCATGGTTGTACCCTCCAGCACCGCCGCGACCTCTGCCATAGCCCCGACCTCCACCACGTGGAGCTTCGTTCCTGGCCTCCCTCATTGATGACAACCATAAATCAGTGGGAGGGCAATGTGGATATCTTTCGATAGATTACCACAAATCAAATAATGGGAAACAATCGATAGATTACCATAAATCAGTGAGTACGAAGTCGCTATCATAACAATCAATCGGAAGTGAAACAATCAAAAGAACCCAGATAACAATTCTCATTATGCAAGTACCCAACAAAACAAAAGTCTTTAGAACAAGTTTACAAAAATCAAACGGATGAGAAAGTAAAATAATGGGAAATGAATGTTAAATCTTCCGCCAATGAAATTGAATACGCAGGAGAGAATCTCACCGGCCAGAGCAGGAGGAAGCGGCTTCGAAGGAAGCTTCGCAGAGGACTTGGTGGACTAAGCTTGAGCCTGACCAACCGCAGCTTTCTTCGTCTTGTCGGAGCAACGGAGACGGCGAGCTGGCTCGGATCCTCCGCATCATCTCCCAACAGATCAAAAGGGTTCAAAGTTGCCATATCTTAGAGCTTCGATGAAGAAGCAACGTAGCAGGTGATAGAAACCCTAGTTTATCAGAAACGTCACTGGAGACGAAAGCCATGGGCAACAGATCTGTGGATGAAATGTCGGAAGGGATGGAGGGCACACGGTGAGTCTGATGGGGAGAAGAGATGAATACTTCGGTTGGTGAGAAAATAGACCGGAAAATCCCATATTCCCACGAAGTTTTGTGTGCCGATTTTCTAGGTCAATTTTTAATTTAACAAAAAATTATACCGAATTTTTAATATTTTCAAAATCTTACATAAAACATTAAAATATATTGTAATTTTCTCTATATATCCGTAAACCACGTTATATTCTATTAATTTTAATGTCAATGTGATATACTATGTCATACTTTTTCCATCAAATCATTATATTCCACCAAATTAAAAAAAAATCAAAATTTTAATAAATTTTAAAAAAATTCAAAATTTTAAAAAAAATTACAAAGAAATTAAAAAAAATGTAGTTTTTAGTTAGTAATATATGATAAAATGCGTTTTTCAAATAAACCAATTATATATAGAATAATGCATAATATTTTAAAAGTAGAATAAAACTATATGGTCCTTTTTAATAAAAATGAATATTAAGTAATTTTTTATAACAAATTTCAAGTAGAAAATTATTTTTGAGGAAATAAAATAGTTGACAATATGTTTTAGGTTTGTCCCAGAACTTAAGAATCGAAACTTTATTTATCAAAGCAGGAAACAATTATAACGCATTCTATTTTGCTTTCAAATCTGCATACATTAGTCCCATTTTACATAAAATTTATAATCTCCCTTTGCATTGTGACGAACATAAACTCCATCCTCTCTCGCTTCAAATCTGCATACATTAGGTTTTCGACCTCCGCATACACCATCTATGAAACCGTCGGTTACAAGGAACGCATCGAACCCCGCATGGTGTTTGAAATCAGGTCCCTGAAAAAAAAACACAAAATATATCTTCATAACATAAAAAAAAAAGTGTAAAACCCTTTGGAATCAATTAATCAAAATCAAACTGAAATCCCATAATAACAACCTAGTATATAGTTTTTTTGAAATAATCGAAACCAAACCGAATCGAAACTAATTGTCTTGAAGAAAAACAAAAGGGATAGAGAATGCATGTACTCACGTGCCAGATGTCACACCAGTAGTCCGAATAAAACCAGACCATGAACTTGAGTTCGTATACACCTCCGTTGTCTATAATCGCAGGATCGTGAGCCCGAGCTGATCTTTGACAGTGCACCTTCATTTTTTTGTTAGATTGAAGGCTATTCGCAAGTTCGATATTAAATTTTTTCAATAGTGGTGGATAACCAAAAACACTAGTCGCATCAATTGATACCAGTAAAACCAAGAGAGTTACGACAAACTTGCCCATCTTTTCTAGTTGACTTGATTTAGTTGTCTACATTGTTATAATATATATACTGAAAAAGGAATGGAAATATAGAAAAAGGAAAAAATAAAAAAGAAGAAAAAAATCTGAAAAACTTTAAAAAAATTGAAAACGGCTAAACTTTTAAAAGAAAAATATGTTAATCTAAAGGTCGAAAAAAGAAATTAAAAATATAAACAAAATAAAAAAATCGGAAACTTTTAATCAAAATCTAAAATGCAGATTTGTCCTTATCTTTCCAATTTCCAATTTCCAATTTGCCCTTGACGTCTTTAATTATTTTAATATAGATTTTCTCTTTCCCGTTATTCCCTCTCGCCATTATTTCATCTCTATCCGTTATACTCTCTTCGCACTTTTCTCTCTCAAATATTTATGTTTTCTATTCAACATTATACAAAATCACTAAAAGAATCATTGTAGTCACTTTAAAATCACTATAAAATCGAAGATAAAATATTATAAATAAATAAATAAATTATGTCCCAAATTCCAACATCTATTATGAATATGAAAAAACGAAAAACACACAATTATATATATTTGCCATCTTATTCTCGAGAAAAAAAAGGCTCATAGTTTTGTATAATAATTTGTTTATACGACTTAAATCGAGTTAAACAATTTTTTTTATATATTTATGACCCGTGAGATTCATGTGTGGTCTATGTGACTCCAAGTGTAAATTTGACTGTGTGACCTATGCTATATACTAAAAAATATAAATTTACCGCACATATCTTCTTATTTAAAAATGTTTATTAGATGGACTTCACATGTCCCTTAGAAATTATATTGGGTAACATGGGTTAAATAAACAAAAATTTTACATAATTTGTTTATGTATTTGTTATTAATTCAAAAAATTCGATCATTGTGATATATGTAACCCGATATATATTATAGTAGAAGAAATGAACCAAAACATTGAAAAAAATAAAGTAAAAAAGAAGAAGAAAAGAATCTCAAAAACATTAAAAGATTGGAAATGAATGAACGTTTAAAAGGAAAATAAATTAGTCAAAAGATCAAAATAAGAAATGAAAAGATTTGAAAATTTGATTAAAAAATCTAAAATTTCTTTAAATGGGGCATTATAACAAAGTTCCTCTATTTGTTGTTCCCATTTCAAAGTCTATTTCTTTCTATCCTTTAAAACTTACAATTTCCAATTTGTTCTTAGCATTTTTAATTAATTTTATTGTATTTTTCTCTCTCTTTGTTCTCTTTCCTCATTATTTTCATTCTCTTTATTACTCTCTACTCACACATTTTTTTCTATAAATATTTATGTTTTTTCTATTTAATATTATACAAAATCACTAAACGAATCATTGTAATCACTGCAAAATCAGCATAAAATCGATATAAAAGATTGTTAATAGATAAATTATGACCCGAATTCCACAATTTGTTATGAATATGAAAAAGATAAAAAATGAATTGTAACACTTGTATCCTGTGAACCGAGTTACGCCATATGAACAAACACATATAAAATGCAATATCAAAAAACGTGCAGAAATCGAAATCTTCTTTTATATTAATCTGTATAAAAAAAATACAACGATTAGTAATATACAATGTAGTGAAATACAAAATTCATAAAACTACACTACAAAAAACGTAGTTTCGAACCCACATGTTCTGTCTAATGTCGCTTGTGTTTCCACATCCGTCGCGAACCCCTCCAGAAGCTACCATCGGAAACATGTAGATAAACACGTTTCTGTTGCGATCTCCTCACGGTGCTCCTATCTGAAACGTTGTGTAACAACGTCCTAAGCTATGTGTTTAGTGAGTGATTCGGACATAATCCAAATATTTTACTCATTGAAAATGGCAAACCAGTAAATCAATAATATATATATATATATATATATATAT